AGCTCTTTAGCCATTTCCCAACAAAAACAAAAGGCTAATGGCATTATAGCATAGCAGAAAATGACATGTCTCATTCATCATTGCCAGAGCTCCGATTCGCTTTCAGCCATAGGCTGCTGGAATCCTGCTGGCTAGCTGAGACATGTTGATTTTCACATATCTCCAGCACATGGTTTCAGGCCATTGCAAAGTCCTGACGAAGCACATTTAGGACAGGATCCAAAAGCACGACCAGTGACTCATGGTGCTCATGTACAGAGGAGTCATGTTATCAGATATGCTGGTGTTTATCCATGAGAGGACCTGCTGCTTGGATCAATCGCCTAGAGATGTTTACAGAAACCCTGCTGAAAAAGCTGGTCTCCCAGCCAGGTCAGGCCGAACTAGTTTGCTGGTTTTAGAGTGGTTTTGGGCACTGTACCCTACCCAAACAGCTAATCCACAATATTACAGACTAGAGATCAACCAATATTGGCTTTTTATTTATATTAAAGGCAATGTAATATCTGATATGCAGAACCATTTTTAATACTTTTATTTATTTATTTTATTTGATACAATAACTACATGATCATTAGACTACATTTTATGAATATTTATGAATATTATTATTATTGTTATTGTTGTTGCCATTATATTTATACTAGGCTTGCCGCGATAGACGGTTAGGTCGCTTGCCCACTGCGTCACCGACCCCCACCGTCGTTTAGATTTTTTATAGTAATAAAAATCATTTAGTTCAGTAAAAGAACAGACACTACAATTAAAAACTGAATGCGGCTGCTCAATGCAGCGTGCCGAACGACAGTCGCATCACAGATCAGATTTCATTTCTACAGTGAGGAGAGTGAATCGAGCTGACTGACAAGAAGAGTGGGGTGAGACAGACAAGACGATCGCGGATGATTTTTATACAAAGCAGTTTTGTACACTACCATTTTTTTGTTTCTTTTTTATTATTGGATAGGACTCATTGCTGAGGCTATTGGCTCCGACCAATCCAAGATTTTGAAAGGAGTTTCTTATGCTGACCAAGGCTGCATTTATTTGATCAAAACAGTAATAGTGTGAAATATTGTTGTAATTTTAAATAACTGCTTTCTATTTTAATACATTTTAAAATGGAATTTATTCCTGTGATGACAAAACTGAATTTTCAGCAGCCATTATCTAGTTATCATGATCCTTCAATATCACTCTAATATGCTGATTTGATACTCGAGAAACATTTCTTTTTATTATCAATTGTAAGTTCAAGTTTTTAAGATTCTCTAGTGAATAGAAAATTCAAAAAACATCATATATTTCAAATACAATTTTATATAGCAATGCCTTTACTGTTGATCAAATTAATGCATCCTTGCTGAATAAAAGTATACATTTCTTTCAAATATTTATTCTTACTTTTTTTTTTTTTGGATTACATAATTGTTAAGCCACAAAAAATGTGACTAGACTTAAGTGACTTTTCCAGGCTATGAGACCACCTAAACCAGCTACAATATATATATAT